TTCACACGACCCCTCCATACCAAGAGAGGACAAAGCAGCCCACACCACCCTCTCTCTACTTTCAACAACAACAATCATCATTAAGGCTCTTTTTTCCCTCTCACAACTCTTCACATTTTTTATTTACCGTGACCCATCTTTAAAAAAAACACGAAAAACTGATGATAATTATTTGGCGATTGCTGCTGCTGCTGCTGCATTGGCAGTGGTTTCAAAAGCACAATGATGAAAATGGCCTGCGCACATCCGTCAATAACAACTGCGTGTGTGTGGCCTTAAAAATAAAAATATATAACAGGCGACGTTTCGGGCTACAGACCTTATTCAAAGCGCACAAACGGCACGTGGTCACGCCGACTCCGCGCATCCTCGAAGCAGCAGCAGCGGTGGGGGCTTTTGGCTCGGCCATCAAACAAATGCGGCTGTCACCGCATGCGCCGCTTGCGCGGCCGTCTGGAACGCTCTTCCCTCCGATATTAGGAAGCCACTCGGACCTTTGCAACTCTTAAATCATCATCATCGTCGTCATCGAGATTGGCAAACTCGTTTCTTTAGAACTGCTGCTTGCGTCTAGTTTGCTGTCTTTCCCCCCCGGCACCTCAGATGACCACGGTTGGCTACGTATGGTGTGAAAGAAGTTCAACTTACATACATGGATACCCAAAGACTCCTCACACAGAGACCCATAGACTCCTCACATAGAGATCCATAGACTCCTCACACAGAGACCCATAGACTCCTCACATAGAGATCCATAGACTCCTCACACAGAGACCTATAGACTCATCGCACAGAGACCCATATACTTATCGCACAGAGATCCATAGACTCACCACACAGAGACCCATAGACTCCTCACACAGAGACCCATAGACTCATCGCACAGAGATCCATAGACTCATCGCACAGAGATCCATAGACTCACCACATAGAGATCCATAGACTCCTCGCACAGAGAGCCATAGACTCATCGCACAGAGATCCATAGACTCCTCACACAGAGACCCATAGACTCATCGCACAGAGACCCATAGACTCATCGCACAGAGAGCCATAGACTCATCGTACAGAGATCCATAGACTCCTCACACAGAGACCCATAGACTCATCGCACAGAGACCCATAGACTCCTCACACAGAGACCCATAGACTCCTCACACAGAGACCCATAGACTCCTCGCACAGAGACCCATAGACTCCCCCCCCCTCCGCACACCTTAGATCAGCCACGGAGGGCTACGTACGGCGTGAATGAAGAGGTGCACACAGCACGTGTCGCTTTCTCTCAGGAGGCAGGAGCGGAGGGGCACGTGTGGATGAGGCTCGAGAGAGCGTGCAGGCGCTAAGGCAGCGCTCCCTGTCGACAGTCGATCGAGCCTCTGGGGCAGGAGAAGGGACCATGACCATGCCCATGACCATGCCCATGACCACGCCCGTGACCATGACCATGACCACGACCACGACCATGCCCATGACCATGACCACGACCATGACCATGACCACGCCCGTGACCATGACCATGACCACGACCACGCCCGTGACCATGTCCATGCCCATGACCATGCCCATGACCATGCCCATGCCCATGCCGATGACCACGCCCGTGACCATGCCCATGACCATGACCACGACCACGCCCATGACCACGCCCATGACCATGACCACGACCACGACCATGCCCATGACCATGACCACGACCACGACCATGACCACGCCCATGACCATTCCCATGACCATGCCCATGACCACGACCATGCCCATGACCACGACCACGATCACGACCACGACCATGACCACGATCACGACCACGACCATGCCCATGACCACGACCACGCCCATGACCACGACCACGACCATGCCCACGACCACGACCATGCCCATGACCATGACCATGACCATGCCCATGACCATGCCCATGACCATGCCCATGACCATGACCATGCCCATGCCCATGACCATGCCCATGACCATGACCATGCCCATGACCATGCCCATGACCATGGCGATGGCGGAGACCGAGAGCGGAGCGGCGGCCGAAGACGCGGATCGCGATCTTTTGACGAAGGGGGTTGAGAATTATTATTGAAAAACGTCATTTAAAAGTATTATGATTAACAATTATTATTTACAGTTATTGTTTAAAATTATAATTTCAAATTATTATATACGATTATTATTTAAAATTATTCTTTATTATTATTTATTATTATTCTTTATTATTTTATATTATTTTATATTATTCTGAATTTTTTATTTAAAATTATAATTATTTAAAATTAGAATTATTTAAAATTAGAATTTAAAATTATTATTGAACATTGTTATTAAAATGTATTTAAAAGTATTACTATTGAAAATAATTATTTAAAACAGGTTTATTTGAACCCTTATCTTTGATCCCCCCCCCCCTTCCACCGCCGCCCCCTTCCCATGTCAGAGGTCCTCCTCCTCTTCCCCCCCCCACCCCCCCCCCCCCCCTTGTAACGCGTCACAGAAGACATCCGCAGACCTCACGGTCCTCACCGGTCACCCCGAGCACGCGGTCGGCTCGTGAGCTCAACGGCGTCGGTTGGACCCCCCCCCCCCCCACCACGACCCCCCACCACGACCCCCCACCACGACCCCCCACCACCCCCAGCACCAATAATGCGCGCGTTCAAAACATGACCACCCCTATGCGTTGTAACGGGCCCAGCGTTGTCGTTTAGTCCAAATAAAATAACGACGAAATAAAACAACAACAACAACAACGGGACCCCCCCCGCCCCGCTTCTTCCCCCGGCTGCCCCCGCCCCCGCCTTATCCGAAATCTTTTCGTGGCACCCTTCGATTGACTCGAGAGCGGCATTTGGGTGCCCAGCCGCCAGACGACTGACGGCGTCGAGAGACACGTCCAAGACGTTTGGAGGAGAAAGCCTTGGACACCTCGAGAGAGAGGGAGACCCAAGGGAGACTTTGAGATACTCAAGAGACTCCCCAGAGACACTCAGGGACACTTAGGGATTCGAGAAAATTGGAGACCCGGAGATACCCCAAACGGTGAAGACACCTCGAGACAACCCCAGAGATGCTCAGGGAACACCCAGCGAGTTTGGAGAGACTCGGGGACACTCAGAGACACCCAGGGACACCCAGAGACACGCAGGGACACACAGAGACACCCAGAGACATCCAGAGACACCAAAGACACCCAGGGACACCCAGAGACACCAGAGACACACAGGAACACCCAGAGACAATAGAGACACCAGAGACACCCAGAGACACCCAGGGACACCCAGAGACATCCAGAGACACCCAGAGACACCCAGAGACACACAGGGACACACAGAGACACCCAGAGATACGCAGGGGCACACAGAGACACGCAGAGACATCTAGAGACACCGAAGACACACAGGGACACCCAGAGACACCCAGAGACACACAGGGACACTCAGAGACACCAGAGACACCCAGAGACACCCAGGGACACCCAGAGACATCCAGAGACATCCAGAGACACCAAAGACACCCAGGGACACCCAGAGACACCAGAGACACACAGGGACACTCAGAGACACCCAGAGACACCCAGAGACACCCAGAGACACACAGGGACACACAGAGACACCCAGAGACACACAGGGACACCCAGAGACACCAGAGACACACAGGGACACTCAGAGACACCCAGAGACACCCAGAGACACCCAGAGACACACAGGGACACACAGAGACACCCAGAGACACGCAGGGGCACACAGAGACATGCAGAGACATCCAGAGACACCAAAGACACCCAGGGACATCCAGAGACACACAGGGACACCCAGAGACACCAGAGACACACAGGGACACCCACAGACACCCAGATACACACAGGGACACCCAGAGACACACAAAGACACCCAGGCACACGCAGAGACACTTGGGGAAATCCAGTAAGATCCGGAGGCCGTCACGACCGCGAGGGCAGTAAGTTGCCTTGCGGGGAGGGGGGGGGTCTCCGCGTGGGCGGGCACGGGTTGGCGGTGTGCACCTTCGACGAGCCGGCGTGTGGTGGGGGGGGGGTGCGCATGAGATACTGACCGATTGGCGCGGTTTGGTTACGAACGGTGTGAAAGAAGTTCAACGCACGTCCGTACATACGCACGCTACGTACGTACGGGAAGGTTTATATCCCCCCCCCACCCCTACCGGCTGCTTGCCTGTGCCGAACGAGGAAGCGAAACCGCGTCTGCAGGCTGGACGTCACGGGGAGACGACGGCTCGGGGATGGGGTGGGGGCCAAGCAGGGCCAGGGGGCGTGGCCTATGACAGCGCGTTCGTTGGCCACACCCGTCACGCGTGACGTCAGTGGGCAGGGCTCGGCTCAGCTTCAGCAGCGGAAAAAAAACGCCGGAGTCTCCCGAGCCGTCCTCGGGGGTTGGCTCGGCCCCCGGAACGGCTCGGTTGTGTCCAGTGGAAAAGGGAGGTGAAGCTGTCGTGGGTTTGCACCGACCGTTCTCACCGCGGGGATTTAAAAAGTGACGGTGCGCCCGCGCGGTGACACGCACCGCGCTCTGCGCCTGGCGAAAAAACGCCGCAGTCCACACTATGGTGCCACGGTGGCTAGGAGATGTTGACTACCTCGCCTGGTGTACAGGAGGTCGTGGGTTCGATCCAGACCCTGACGCCTGCTGCTGTATATTTGGAGTTTGCGTCTCTCTTATCATCATCACGGTGGCTAAGAGATGTTAACTACCTCGCCTGGTATACAGGAGGTCGTGGGTTCGATCCTGACCCTGACGCCTGCTGCTGTATATTTGGAGTCTGCGTCTCTCTCTCTCTCATCATCATCACGGTGGCTAGGAGATGTTAACTACCTCGCCTAGTATATAGGAGGTCGTGGGTTCGATCCTGACCCTGACGCCTGCTGCTGTATATTTGGAGTCTGCGTCTCTCTCTCTCTCATCATCGTCACGGTGGCTAGGAGATGTTAACTACCTCGCCTGGTGTACAGGAGGTCGTGGGTTCGATCCTGACCCTGACGCCTGCTGCTTTATATTTGGAGTTTGCGGTGTCTCTCTCTCTCCCTCCCTGTGGTCGCGTGGATTTTTCTCTGGGTCCTGCGCGCCACATTTATAGAATCAACGTCACCACACGATTAAGAGTATTTTTGTCTGCGGCTAGAAATGTCCACGCGGCGATAGGCCACTACTTCGTTGAGCTATCGTTTGTGATCGCCAGGCCGCTTCTGAAAAAGAGCTACGTAGCTCAGTGGGCCCTTAGAGTTTTTACTCAAACTTACAAAACTTCGTGTTGCTGCTCCCCGTTTCTGGAATCCCCTTTGGTTACCTCCCTTCACTACAGCTCCCTCCCCTCTGTATTTCCCTATTAAGCAAAAAAAAAAACACGCACACACAGAGAGAGAGATAGCTTGCTCGCACCACCTGCACCTTGACATTTTATTTTCTTCAGCCGCATCTTTGGCTCTCACATTGCGTTTGCACCGAGTGTGCTGGTTTGTTGTTGGATTCGTTTTTACGACCGTGAAATTACCCCGTACGTAAGCTGTGCAATGTTCCCCAAAGGGCCCTGCTGTGTACTCGCTCTCTGCAACGTTGATGATGTTTGTTGTTGTTGTTATTGTTGTTGTTGCTGTGCTCGTGCAGGAATCACGGACCTCCCTTTTGTGAAATAGCCAGGCAAATTCGGCTACACGGTGGGATCATCATTGTCGTCATCGTCGTCATCATTATCATCGTCGTCATCATCGTCGTCATCATCGTCATCATCGTCGTCATCATCATCATCATCGTCATCATCAGCGTCATCGTCCGTGTAGCCACTCAAATAAACTAAAACTCCGGGACACCCGGAGACATCCAAGGAGGTCTAAAACACACAAACACCTTTGGGTGTACAGCCGCCAGATGATTAGACATCGAGAGACACGTCCAAGACATTTGGAGAAAGCCTTGGACACCTCGAGAGAGATAGAGAGGGAGACCCAAGGGAGACTTGGAGACACTCCAGACTCCCCAGAGACAGTCAGGGACACTTAGGAAGATTGGGGATTCGAGAATACTGTAGACCCAGAGATACCCCAAACTTTGAAGATACCTCGAGACAACCCCATGGATACCCAGCGAGTTTGGAGAGACTCAGGGACATCCAGGGACACACAGGGACATCCAGGGACATCCATTAAGATTCAAAGACCGTGCCGGAAGACTCGCAGGGAGACACGATGGGAGACACGACGGGAGTCACGACGGGAGTCACGACAGGAGATGCGGGGAGCAATGGCGGCCGCTTCAGACGGTGGTGGTGAGCGCCGGCTCCACCGAGTGGCACCGCAGCAGCGCCCTCCTGCGCGCGGCGGGGCCATCCAGCCCCACCGGCCCCACGGGCACCACGTGGGCCACGCTCACCTGGGGCCCCAGCCCGTTGGGCCGGCCCCCCACGACGCCCACGCCGTCGGGGACGGCCCCCCACCAGCCACCGTCGGCCTGCAGCCCCGCCCCTCCGGCGCCCGGCCGCCCCCAGCCCGGTCCAAACCCCATGCTCGCCTTGCCTTGCGACGGCCTCGCATCGCCATGGCACCAGGCGTCGCCGCCACCACGGTTACCGTCTCCTAGGAAACCGTCCCTGAGGCAACTGGCGCTACCCATGTACATCTGGTTGCCGCGGAGACCGTTGCTGCCGCGGGGGAGCTTGGCGACGCCGTGGAAACTGTGCCCTTGGAAACCGCCGCGGGGGAAACCGTTGGCGTGGAAACCGTCAGCGTGGAAACCGTCGCCGCGAAAACCGTTGGCATGGGAACTGTTGCCGCGGAAACTGTTTCCGCCGCCGCCATCGTTAAAACAAAAGCCGTCGCCATGGAAACCGGCATCCCCTTGCAGGGGTGCTCCGCTGCCGAAGCGGTTGTCGTGGAAACCAGCGGCGCTGGGGTAACAGCGGTCGTCGCCGTCGCCGCCATCGTCGCCGTCGCCGCCATCGTCGCCGTCACAGGACCCCGGGCAGCCGCAGCTCGTCACTTCCTCGCAACAGCAGCAGCAGCTGCCGCAGCTTCCGCCGACGAGCGGCGCCCAGTCCCCGCCTTCGCCGACGTCGCCGGCCCGGCACAGGCGGTGCACGGACAGCGGCACCGCGTAGTCCGCGCACTCGGTCGCGGCCGCGGCCGCCGCCGCCGCCATCTTCCCCCTCTCGGCGGCAAAGAAATCCCAGATGGAGCGGGAGGACGCGGAGATGAGCGGACGCCCAGTGCCACCGCCAAAACCGCCTCCGCCGTCGCCCCTGTTCCGGCCCGGCGCCCCGAACGTGGTGGCGCGTTTGAATGGCGCCGACTCGATGGGCGGCGGCGGCCGCCACTCAGCGACGCGGTCGAGCGACGCCGACTTGCAGCGGCGCACGGCGGCTTTCGACAGCGGCAACGGCGGCTGCGGTTGCCGCTGTTGTTGCGGTTGCTGTTGTTTGTTCGCCGCGCGCTTGCCCGCGTGCAGGCGCCCGCCGGTGAGGAACTGCGAGACGCCGCGCACGATGCCGTGCTTCATCGGCGGCACGCTCGCCACCAACCGTGTCGTGCGCCGAACCGGCGGCGACGGCGACGACGGCGGCGACGGCAGCGGCAGCGGTGCTGCCGGTGGCGGTGGGGGGAAGGAAGCTTTCGAACCGGACGACGACGGCAACAGCGATGTGGTCGGGAGGACGGGAGGCGGGAGGAGAGGAGGAGGAGGGGGGGAGCGCAGCGACAGCCTCACGCTCATCTCGGACTCGTCTCTGGTGGCGGCGTTCGCCGCGGCCGGGAGAGACGGCACGGAGGAGCCCCTGCCGGACGATGACGACGACGAGGACAGCGAGGAGGAGAACGAGGCGGCGGCCTTCGACGAGGCGAGTGCCGGGGCCTTCGCCGCCGCCGCTTGCCGCCACTTCCTCCTCTCCAGGAGGCGGGCGATGTAATCGTCCGGCTTGCCGGCCGACGGGAAACGCTCGGCAAACGGCGGGGAGCGTGGCGCGGCGCCTCCATCGGTGGAAGTTGCGGCAGGGACAGCGGATTCTCCAGTCATGCACGCTCTGCCGGACGATGTGCCGGATGATGTGCCGGATGTGCCGGCTTCACCGGACGTGCTCGATCGGCTTGATATGCCGGACGTCATGCCGACGGCGGAATCGGCAGACGCGCGAGGTGTTGGGGGCGTGCCGGACGTGCCGGACGTGTCAAGTGCACCGGCTCCTCCGGGTTCGCCGGATTTGGTGGAATCGCCGGGGGCTGCGCCGTCACGGAGCAGCAGCAGCGCGGGGCTCTGGATGGCCACGGCGTGCAGCGCGCTCGGGTAGCGGTACAGCCCCGAGCCGTCCAGGCTGGGCACGTCCCGAGCGAAGCGGCGTGTGCCGGGGCTCACCGGGGATGCTACGGGGTGGGGGGGAGCGGGGCCCGGTGGGAGAGGGGGGGTTAAGGGAGGTGACGGTCACCAACAACCGCACAAAGATCCCCCCCCTTCCCCCCCACCAATATAACCTCATTATTAGGAAGCCACTGGAGCTCTATTGAACACTCATTCCTTGTAAACTGCTTTGTGTTTAGTTTGTTGTTCCTTCTCCCCCGCACCTCCGATTAGCGCGGTTGGCTACGCACACTGCCAATAGACTCAACACTGCCCCATAGAACACATTCCTGCGGAGGGAGCTGGTAGGAACGTTGGGTTGCTCGGTCAATGGCCAGGGTCAACGGCGGCACCACGTGGTGTATTCCGCAAATATTGCCCGACTGTGAGGGCGGGCACAAGCCGGCGTGAAGGGTGGGGACCGAGTGGGGACCTGGGACGGTGGAGAGAAAAAAAAAGCTGTTACTAAAAAAAAGAGTACAATACCCACGAAGTGGCGGCTTATAAAGTAGACATTGAGAGCAGCCGCACACTCCTAACGCATGTTGTTGATTCTCCACGTGGAGGGAAAAATGTCGTGAAGATGGTCGGACGTGGTTGGTGACCACCCACCCCCTCGTGTGTGACGTGGCCGCCTTCCCCACCCACCCAGCCCCAACCCCTCCCAGCCCCTCCCTCCCCACCCACCCCCCACCCAGCCCCACCCTCCCCACCCAGCCCCTCCCCACCCTCCCCTCCCCACCCTCCCCACCCAGCCCCTCTCCACCCAGCCCCACCCTTCCCATTTTTGGATGCACGACGGACGGACGGACACAATAATCCCCTGTGGGCTGGTGGAACCAGGAGGTTCCTACCAGTACTAACACTACCCATAGACTAACACTACCCATAGACTAACACTACCCATAGACTAACACTACCCATAGACTAACACTACCCATAGCCTCAACACTACCCATAGACTCAACACTACCCATAGCCTCAACACTACCCATAGACTAACACTGCCCATAGGCTAACACTACCCATAGACTAACACTCTCTCTTTCGCTCTCTCTTTTTTTGAAACTTTGAAACAAATTTTGATTGCCGCCAGCAGAAACAGCACTGGAGGAGATTTCGACACGAAACACACAAAGCCAGCAGCAACAACGAACACCAACGAACACAATAAAAACACACACGCGCTGTGGTGCCGGACGTGCCCAAAAGTCTCTCTTGTGCTGTCTCTCTCAGCTCACTCACCAGGATCGCTGTGATCCCAGCTGCCCGGGGTCGTGACCTGCTCGTCGCTGGCCTCTGATTCGTCGGATTCGGAGCCGACGCGGCGATCGGGCCCTCCGCTCCACTCGGAGAAACCTGCCGGGTTCACAAAGTCCCCGCTGGTATTGGTCGTGAGCGGGAACTGAACTCGGGTCGCCGGTTCTTTGGAGTGCAGTGCGCTAACCACTACGCCACGGTTCCTCATACACACTCACGCGCACAAAGACAAAGATCCCCCGTGTAAGCTCTTGGGGCAAGTGGCTGCTAGCGAGTGGCAGCCACCGATGAAGGCCGGCACGGCGCACGATGGGGCGAGTGGACAGTGCCACGCCCGGCCGTCTTTGTCTCCCCAGTGGGGATGTTCATACACCGCACCGGTTATTGATTTAAGGCCGAGTAGGCCTAAGGGAGGACAACACGCACTCACTCACGCACGCTGCAGGTGGGGAACGAGTGGACCAATTTGTGTGCAGAAACTACCCCCAACTTTAGTCTGTCCACTGCTGGATGAGGGCCTCCCCACGCCATGCGGGTCGTGGGGAGTTACACACTACATGTGCCCAATGATTGCTCAACACGCTGTCCCATCTAACGCGGCTATCCTACCTACCCCAGCTATCCTACCTAACCCAGCTATCCTAACTAACCCAGCTATCCTACCTAACCCAGCTATCCTACCTAACCCAGCTATGCTACCTAACCCAGCTATCCTACCTACCCCACCTATCCTACCTAACTAAGCTATCCTACCTACCCCACCTATCCTACCTAACCCGGCTATCCTAGCTAATCCGGCTATCCTACCTAACCCGGCCATCCTACCTAACACAGCTATCCTACCTAACCCAGCTATCCTACCTAACCCAGCTATCCTACCTAACCCGGCTATCCTACCTAACCCAGCTATCCTACCTAACCCAGCTATCCTACCTAACCCAGCTATCCTACCTAACCCAGCTATCCTACCTAACCCGGCTATCCTACCTAACCCAGCTATCCTACCTAACCCGGCTATCCTACCTAACCCAGCTATCCTACCTAACCCAGCTATCCTACCTAATCCGGCTATCCTACCTAACCCAGCTATCCTACCTAACCCAGCTATCCTACCTAACCCAGCTATCCTACCTAACCCAGCTATCCTACCTAACCCAGCTATCCTACCTAACCCAGCTATCCTACCTAACCCAGCTATCCTACCTAACCCGGCTATCCTACCTAACCCGGCTATCCTACCTAACCCAGCTATCTTACCGAACTAAGCTATCCTACCTAACCCAGCTATCCTACCTAACCCAGCTATCCTACCTAACCTGGCTATCCTACCTAACCTAGCTACCCTACCTAACCCAGGTAACCTACCTAACCCGGCTATCCTACCTAAGCTCTCTCAGCTATCCCAGCTAAAGCCACAACCTCTGCTGCATTCACCGAATGTGCACAGCGGAGCCCCCTCAAACGTCGCGATACGGCACGGTGGGCCGGGGGAGGGGGGAGGGGGGGGGAACCCCCACCGGAGCTCGGCCTCCTCCGGCTGCTCCGCCTCTCAGCTCCGCCCGGCCCCCGTGGCGGGGCCTGCGTGACGCGCCCAGGCCTCTCCTCGCCTAGCTGCTCGAACATGGCTTCCTCTCGCCGCCTTCGTTGGCGAGTGGGGGAGAGGGGGTAGACAGGGGAGGAGAGGTGGGGAGGGGGGAGGTGGTTACAGACGATTGACAAAACGCTTTCGCAACAACAAAAACCCTGGACCTCAAGGGAAGACATCAGAATCCGGCTCGGGGGCCAAGCAGGGCCAGGGGCGGGGGCTAACGACGTGTTTGCCACGCGCGCGTGACGTCAGCCGGCACGACTCAGCTCCTGCGGTGGAAAAACAAACAAACTGGCGCCGCCCTAAGCAGGCATCGTCAGGGTCGGGATCGAACCCACGACCTCCTGCATACCAGGCGAGGTAGTTAACATCTCATAGCTACTGTGATGATGACGATGAGATAGCGAGACGCAGACTCCAAATATATAGCAGGTGTTAGGGTCCAGAGATCGAACCCACGACTTCCCGCATACCAGGCGAGGTAGTTAACATTTCATTGCCACCGTGGCACCCTGAGGTCAGGGTAAGGGGTGGGGGGGGGAGCCCTTACCGATCGAGCGCTTGTGTGGGGCCACCGAGTCCCATCTCCCCGAGGCGGTCCCCCAGACTCTTGAGCTGCAGGTAGAGGCTGGCGTCACGACGGCGCAGGGAGCGCTGCCGGCCAGGAGACAGCGGGGAGACAGCGGGGAGACAGCGGGGAGACATCGTGGAGGAGACGGCGGGGAGACAGCGGGGAGACAGCGTGGAGGAGACGGCGGGGAGACAGCGGGGAGACAGCGTGGAGGAGACGGCGGGGAGACAGCGGGGAGACAGCGGGGAGACAGCGGGGAGACAGCGGGGAGACAGCGTGGAGGAGACGGCGGGGAGACAGCGGGGAGACAGCGGGGAGACAGCGTGGAGGAGACGGCGGGGAGGAGACGGCGGGGAGGAGACGGCGGGGAGGAGACGTTAAGCGGTGACCACACCTTGAGCGATCAGCCGCTCACCCGTACTGCCGTCGACGTTGCGCAACTCAAATCGCCGCCCGCGATAGGCTGGCGCCTGTCATAGGAACGTGGAATTTTCACCACTGGCTCGGGCTCCCGGTGGTGGTGAGTGCTGTGTCATTGCTTGTTTGAGCAGAGAGACAATTTGGCTTAAATGTGTTCGTGCAGCCATTGGTGACTGACCTGAGATCAACACTTCACGACACTTCAGAACCCAGGTTGATTGTGTCCACATCTGGGCGGGCGGTTGCGCAGCCAAAAACCGCTCCGAGAACACCCGCCCTGAAGGCACGGAGCCTGCCCTGAGGGCACGGGGCCCTCCTTGAGGGCACGGGGCCTGCCCTGAGGGCACGGGGCCTGCCCTGAGGGCACGGGGCCTGCCCTGAGGACACGGGGCCCTCCCTGGTGACACGGGGGATGCCCTGAGGGCACGGGGCCTGCCCTGAGGGCACGGGGCCTGCCCTGAGGACACGGGGCCCTCCCTGATGGCACAGGGCCTGCCCTGAGGGCACAGGGCCTTCCCTGATGGCACGGGGCCTTCCCTGATGGCACGGGGCCTGCCCTGAGGGCACGGGGCTGCTGCCGCCACCTAACAGAGCCCTGGACGAACGCAACTGGGATAACGGAACGGCGACAGCGTTCGACTGAGGGTAATTTCAAATGCAAACGCTGAATGCGTCGATCAATTCATGAATTGATGAAATGCGGAGGACAAGGAGGTACAGGTTAACGTTACAATGTGAAGAGTGGAAGGGCCGGTGGGCGGAGAGGGTTCACAGCGGCCGTGTCGGAGCGATGAGCCAGCACCGTCGTGTCATGAACCCCGGTGATCTGTGACGGCTCACCGGGGTTGCCGTGACGACTCACCGGGGTTGCCGTGACGACTCACAGGGGTCGCCGTGACGACCCACTGGGGTCGCCGTGACGGCTCACCGGGGTCGCCGTGACGACTCACCGGGGTCGCCGAGACGGCTCACCGGGGTTGCCGTGACGACCCACCGGGGTCGCCGTGACGGCTCACCGGGGTCGCCGTGACGGCTACTGGTCTGGCCGTTACACCTGAGCGTGACGCTGCGCCCCCTCCCACACGCGACCCCTTCGCCACAGGAAACGAAACCCGGCGTGAGTCCAGACCCAGGGACTGCCCCCCCCCCCTCCCTCCCCCCTCGTCACGCACGTGTCAGCTCAGGGTGGGGATCGTTCATCATCAGCCATCAGGAACTACGCGGATTCGCTCCTCAAGTTCCTCTGACCGTGGTTTCCATCGTCACGCGCACGCGCAGGGATAGAATCACCAGCCGTGAATAGTCCACTGCTGGATGAAGGCCCTCCCCGAGCCGTCACGCCAACTCCGCTCATCCTCGCAGCAGCTGCGTCAGCGGCTTCTGCGGCCGTCTGGAACGCTCTGCCTCCCGATATTAGGAAGCCACTGGCAGCTGTGGCACTTTTAAATCTTCATCGTCAACTAGATTGACAAACTCATGCCTTCAGGAACTGATTTGTGTGTTTAGTTTGTTGTCTTTCACCCCTGCACCGGCGATTAGCACGGTTGGCTACGTACGGTGCGAAAGAAGTTCAACACACAGGACACGGTCCCTCTGCGACATGTAGGGGTATGGTGTGCGTGTGTGTCAGCCGGGCGTGCTGCTGGCCACCCAGCCCATCGCGGGCCGTGCCGGACTACAGAGGTGCGACTCACTATCAGCACTTGCCCCGACAGTCTGGTAAGGATACACGGGGGATCTTTGCCTTTGTGAGTGCATGGTAGTGCGTAGTGGTGATGCGTGCGTGTACGCGTGGCAGTGTGTGGGGGGGTGGTGAGTGTGTGTGGGGGGGTGAGTGTGGTGGTGGGGGGGGGGGGGGGGGTGGTGAGTGTGTGGGGGGGGGTGAGTGTGGTGGTGGGGGGGGGTTGTGAGTGTGTGGGGGGGTGAGTGTGGTGGTGGTGAGTGTGTGGGGGGGTAAGTGTGGTGGGGGTGGTGAGTGTGTGGGGGGGGGGTGAGTGTGGTGGTGGGGGGGGTTGTGAGTGTGTGGGGGGGTGAGTGTGGTGGTGGTGAGTGTGTGGGGGGGTGAGTGTGGTGGGGGGGGTGAGTGTGTGGGGGGTGGTGAGTGTGTGGGGGGGGGTGGTGAGTGAGTGTGTGGGGGGTGGTGAGTGTGTAGGGGGGTGAGTGTGGTGGGGGGGTGAGTGTGTGGGGGTTGGTGAGTGTGTGTGGGGGGGTGAGTGTGGTGGTGGGGGGGGGGGGTGGTGAGTGTGTGGGGGGGGGGGGTGAGTGTGGTGGTGGGGGGGGTTGTGAGTGTGTGGGGGGGTGAGTGTGGTGGTGGTGAGTGTGTGGGGGGGTGAGTGTGGTGGGGGGGGGTGAGTGTGTGGGGGGTGGTGAGTGTGTGGGGGGGGGGGGGGTGAGTGAGTGTGTGGGGGGTGGTGAGTGTGTAGGGGGGTGAGTGTGGTGGGGGGGTGAGTGTGTGGGGGTTGGTGAGTGTGTGGGGGGGGGGGTGGTGAGTGAGTGTGTGGGGTGGTGAGTGTGTGGGGGGGGGGTGAGTGTGTGTGGGGGGGTGAGTGTGGTGGTGGGGGGGGGGTGGTGAGTGTGTGGGGGGGGGGGTGAGTGTGGTGGTGGGGGGGGTTGTGAGTGTGTGGGGGGGGGGGGGGGTGGTGAGTGTGTGGGGGGGGAGGGTGGTGAATGTGTGGGGGGTGGTGAGTGGTGGTGGTGGTGAGTGAGTGGTGGTGGTGAGTGAGTGGTGAGTGAGTGAGTGGTGAGTGCGTGGTGAGTGAGTGCGTGGTGAGTGAGTGGTGGTGAGTGAGTGGTGGTGATTGAATGAGTGGTTGTGCTGGTGGTGGGGGGTGCTGGTGGTGGTGGGGGGTGGTGGTGGTGGGATGGTGGTGGTGGGATGGTGGTGGTGGTGGGGGGTGGTAGTGGTGGAGAGTGCTGGTGGTGGTGGAGGGTGGTGGTGGGGGGTGGTGATGGTTGTGGGGGGTGCTGGTGGTGGGGGGTGGTGGTGGGGGGTGCTGGTGGTGGGGGGTGGTGATGGTTGTGTGGGGTGGTGGTGGTGGGGGGTGTGCTGAGTGGGGGGGGGGTCGTGGCGAGGCTATGTACAGGAAGTGCGTCCTGTGTTCACTTATCCCAGCACGCCGCGTTGGTAGCGGCTCTGGGAGCTGCGAACTCGCGGATTCCACCCAGGGCAGAAATCCATGCCGACTCCCAATCACTACACATCATGTATGTATTATATATATACTTGTATAGTTAGGTTTTCTTTTACATGTCAAGAGGCTCCCGCTACTTTGGGCTATTTGATTAAAAGCGGTTCACGTCGCTTGCTTCGATTCGCTGTTGGGAGGGGGGGTGGGGGGCCGGAGAGGAACCGCACCCGGTGTCGGGATTGGAACCCAGGGAGTTCGAGGCGCGAGTGTTGCCACTGCGCCAGAACCACCGCCACCACCACCACCGCCACCACCACAGCCACCGCCACCACCACCACCACCGCCACCACCGCCACCACCACCGCCACCACCACCGCCACCGCCACCATCACCGCCATCGCCACCACCACTGCCACCGCCACCGCCACCACCGCCACCACCACCGCCACCACAGCAGCAGCGGCGACTTTTGGCTCCGACGTTGCTACAAAGGAGGCGGTCACAGCCATCGCGCGGCGCTTTCGGCTGCGCCGCTTCTGCGGGCCGTCTGGAACGCTCTTTCCCTTGCCGATATTTGGACGCCACGGGGAGGGGGGGTGGTAGCTGCTGCACTTTAAAATCTAATTTCTCGAGAACCGCCACATGGAGTTGTGTCTCTTCCCACCGGCTCCTCCGGTAAGCGCAGTCGGCTACGTACGGTGCAAAGTTCAAACATACCGTGCCAGCCCCACCGCTCACCACGTGAGCTGACCAGACCCCAGCCCCACCGCTCACCACGTGAGCTGACCAGACCCCAGCCCTATCGCTCACCACGTGAGCTGACCAAACTCCAGCCCTACCGCTCACCACGTGAGCTGACCAGACGCCAGCCCTACCGCTCACCACGTGAGCTGACCAGACGTCAGCCCTACCGCTCACCACGTGAGCTGACCAAACTCCAGCCCCACCGCTCACCACATGAGCTGACCAGACGTCAGCCCCACCGCTCACCACGTGAGCTGAACAGACCCCAGCCCCACCGCTCACCACGCGAGCTGACCAGACGCCAGCCCTACCGCTCACCACGTGAGCTGACCAGACCCCAGCCCCACCGCTCACCACGCGAGCTGACCAGACCCCAGCCCCACCGCTCACCACGTGAGCTGACCAGACGCCAGCCCTACCGCTCACCACGTGAGTTGACCAGACGCCGGCCGTACCACTCACCACGTGAGCTGACCAGACCCCAGCCCTACCGCTCACCACGTGAGTTGACCAGACGCCGTCTGTACCACTCACCACGTGAGCTGACCATACGCCAGCCCCACCGCTCACCACGTGAGCTGACCAGACCCCAGCCCTATCGCTCATCACGTGAGCTGACCAGACTCCGGCCCCACCGCTCACCACGTGAGCTGACCAGACGCCAGCCCTACCGCTCACCACGTGAGCTGACCAGACCCCAGCCCTACCGCTCACCACGCGAGCTGACCAGACCCCAGCCCTACCGCTCACCACGTGAGCTGACCAGACCCTACCCCTACCGCTCACCACGT